GCTGTGTGGCTGTCGGTGGCTGTTACTAGCCCATGTGCACAGAGACACGGGGCTTCTCTTAGGCCTGTGAAGGCACAGACAGGGCTGGCAGGGAGCCACAGGTCGTCCACTGGCCTTCAGGTGCGCTTACAACGTGGGCCGTTCCTGCGCGAGGGCAGGATGCTGTGGCTGTGGGGTAAACGAGTCTTAACGGGGACAGTGTGGAAGCCCGTGGCCGAGCCCAGGAAATCTTCAGAGAGGAGTTAACATCGTAAGCCATCACACACCTTTTGAAAGCAGAGTATAAATTACAAACTCGGAGAATGTCCTTTTCCTCTTGCCAGAGAAGGGAAAAGGCCGCAAAAACATTGTTCTCTTGACAACTGTTCTCAATCTCAGGCTCAGGCGCCAGAACAAACAGTGACATTATACGAAGACGAAGAGTACCCAGTCCACATGGCGCTGGTGCAGAGGGGGCTCGCAGACCGCGACGATTGAGGTAGGTATGGCTTGCTCACGGCTGTGGTCAGCACAGGGCCTGGGATCAACAGCTGCTGTTGCTGGAGGGCCCGGAGCAGCACTTGCGGCTCCCTTCACTTCCCAGGGGAATGACAAAAAGCACAAGAATCTCCCGGTTTCTTCTTCACAAGCCTTGTCACCCACCACGTACCAGTATGGAAGAGGGTCCGTACATGGGAGGAGGCGGGGATGGCTCTGTGGCTTCATGGTGCTGGGCACTTACAGGGCTGAGGCCAGCAGTGGGACGTGGGCGCCGGCTCACTTCAGTCCAGAATGCCTGCCCTGCTGTTTGAATGTCAGTGTCCTAGTAACTGCCCAGTCGCCTCAGTGACAAGCGACTAAGCAGCTAGATTTGAACACTGATGTCAGGCAGAGGTCTAGAGTGACATGCACTTTGTTCTCAGGTGCGCTGCGTGGGACATCTGCTGCAGCCCAGAACGTTTTCTGTTGCACTGGACCAGTTCAGGCTCGTTTTCCCTGACTTTGTTCTGCAGTAATGCTGGTCCTTTTTTTTTCCCCCTTACATGTTGAACTATTAGAGATTGTTTGAAAAACAGTTAATAAATATTTGCTTTCAAGTATTTTGTTTTACTGTAATTTTGAAATGAAATATTTAGACTCATAAAAAATAACCATCTTAGTTCATTTTGTGACTAATGTACACTCAGCTTGAGAGACAAGACATTGGCATGGCCGTAGGCACCTGTGGTCCCTGCCCTGGCCATTTCCCCCGCAGAGGTGAGCACATCTGTGTCTGCAGCCATAAGCAAGAAGCAGTGCTGCTCTGTGTTCAGAAATGTGCAGTATCATAATTCCCTTTTTTCTATTAATTTCTACTGCTGACCCGTACTGGGATGCATAGCTGTTTTACTTTCACAGCTGTACCTACCTGTGCACACGTCCTTTCTGGTGCTAGGTGTCCAGGTGGCACCACATCCTCCTCAGTCAGTGTCGTTCTGTAGGAGCCCTTGTGGGGGCGGGGGGGAGGGGTGATCCTGGGACACGTGCTGAGTGGTGCGAGGTCCTTTCCAGAGGTGGCTTCAGCAGTTCACTCCAGCGCCAGTAGTCAGAGCCCTCTGCCAGCATGTGCTGTGGCCAGACCATCATTTGCAGTATGTGACACTAGTCTGAGGAGGCACCTTATCATTTTGATGTGCCATCAGTCACTGCTTAGTACTTTGTCACTCGTGTGCTGCTTGTTCCCGTCCTTCGTCCATTTTTCTGTCGAGTTGTCATTCATCCTGGGCGCTAACCCTGTCAGGTGTCTCTTGGTCTGTGGCTCATTTATTTTATTGCATCTTTGGACAAACAGAAACTTCTCATTTACCAACCTTTTAAGGTTTATGCTTTGACTCCTTTAAAAATCCCTCTCCTCCCCCCAGGTGATACTATATAACTCATTATTTTCTTTGAAAAGTTATAAATTTTTTTCCTATTGTTATTAAATCCAGAGAAGTGATTTGCCCTTCGTCCAAGGGCATCTTGCTTCCGTCAACAGCCGTCTCACAGTCTGGCCAGCTGCTTCCTGGGCACTTCTCCTGTTACGTCACCCTCGCCCTATCTGCGAGTTCACCTGTACTCGTAGCAGGGACTCTTCCTGTACGGCCTGACTCGTCTTCGTCCACTAACTTCCCACCTGAGGAACCTCTAGTGGCTCAGCGCTTTGCCTTCGGGACCGCTCTGACTGGTAAGCCACCCTCCTCGAGCAGACCCCCCGTGCGCCTGCTATGGGCAACGTCCCTGGGGAGCCTGCGTGACACAGAGCTCCTCACACTCGCTCTATGAGGCGCTCTGGCCAGTGCAGGTGCCACTTACCATCTTTAAAGTTTTATACAGTTTATAACAAAGGAATGCTTTCAACTGCAGAAAGACAAGAGTGAGTGAATTCAAACTGAAAGCATTTCAAAGATTCTAAAAAGCTATAAATTTTATTTTATAATCCAAGTGTAATCTTTGCCATTCACACACACACACACAGACACAGTAAATATAAATTAAACCACAGAATCCACAAGAAGTGTACATTTTTAACAAGAAAATCAAGTTAGTGTTGCTCCATGATCACACACTGGGGTCCTACACGTTCGTGTCCAGCAGCACGTTGCCATCCTTGTCCTTGACGCGCATCCGGCCAGACGTGTACTTCGTTTCCTGGTGGCCGTTTGCATACACAGTCTTAACAGTGCCATCCGGGTACTCCCGCCTCTTGAACTGGGCCGTATGGACTTCTCTCTGGCCATTACTGAACTCTATGATTTTGTTACCATCTCTGTAAATTTTAAAAAATAATTTCTTTAAAAACACGAAATAACAGGAAGACTATTTAAAAGTAGCCTTTGATTTGGGCAGTTATTCTTCTCGAGCCTCCCTCGGTCCCTCTCTGTGCACACCTTCTTTGCAAATTCTTTCCAGTGTTTTCTGCTCAGATTGTTTCAGTGATCAGATCAGCACTTACATGTACCCATAAAAAGCTTTTTAAAAATAAATTTATGCTTTCACCACAAAATGCTCAGGTTTACATGTGTTCTACTAAAAAAAAAAAATGGGTGCTGTATTAAAATACAGCTTTCAGCTTTGACCCTTATTCTGTACATTAAGTTAAAAACACCTGAGTGCTCGCTCCGCGTCAGGCCGGAGAAGGGGCATAGTCACACCTGACGCCTGCTGTGGAGCAGGAACCGGAAACCGCGCCAAGCTGCCTGCCTGCATGTCAGGACCGTCACACTGAGCATCCCACATGGGGACATGAGCAGAGACGGAAAAAGACTGGCCATGAGTTAGGACCTGAAGATGGAGAGATGAGCAGAGTTGTTCGTGTTGTTTTCTCTACTTTTTATTGCAGAAAGCTGTAGTAAGCACCAAACAGTTCCAGGTGTGAAGGGAAAAGCGCTGTTGTGACCGTGAGAATTTCCTGCATTATTCGAACTCGAGTTTTTACTTTTGGGGATGGGGACAAATTTATATCATGAAATTCCAGTGAGTTAAATGTATCTATGATGTCTTAGTTGTATTCCGGTTAATGGTGCTTCACTTTCACACTCTAGGAGAGCACAGTGAAAACTAAAATAGGACACCAATCTGACCCGCCCCCCAGCAGTTTTAATTAAAAAGGTGACGTAAGATGCTCACTGTTGTAGACTGAAAAAGTCATGTAAAGAGGTCTCTAATTTCTAGAAATGTGACAGAGGATAAAGAGAGGGCGCTGCTCTTAAAGAATGGGGGGGGGGGTAGGCAGGTGAGGTGCTTCTCAGGCTGGGACAGGGAGACCAAGAATATGAAAACAGAAGCAGGAAGGAGCGAGTCTGACCTCTGCCATTGCTAGGTTACTCTTAAAAACCGACAGGGCAGCTTTTCCTTCCGTGTGTCTCATTATTTTCCAGTTTCTAAGCAAACACTTGCCACCCGCCTATCTTGCCTGCTGTGTGGCCTCCCTGTAAGTCTCAACGCTACAGACTAACTACATATTACAGTCTGTTTATCTCAAGCTAGTTCTGATTCCAAACTGCCAAAAACACGTCTCACCTCCTCTGCAAGTGTCTTTGCTCACTTCTAAACTCACTGAAGTTTTGCACAACTTAGCTATTTTAAGATTTAAAAGCTCAAGTGGTAATAGGGGCTGAGCGACATGGACGGGATGGAGCAGGCGCCTCACCGCTGGGTGCGGACGACCGTGCCATCAGGGAAGGCGCTCTCCTCCTGCCCATCGGCAAACACGCGCTTCACGGTCTGGTCCGGAAATGTGATTTCTTTTCTCCCGTCTGGGAAGTGTTTTTCTGTTTAAAAAGGTGACTATAAGTATCATATTTTTAAAGGGAAGGAAGAATGTCATAAAGAGGGGGCAGAGCAAATGTCTACCTATCTGTCCGCTTGAGAAATGCAGGACCTCCAGTCCTCCTGGGAACGTCGTGTGGGTGGTCTGGGCGGCCGCGTAGTAGTAGATCTGTGAACACACAAAGTCACTGCCTTTCCCTTGGAGGTGTCTGCATCGCGACAGAACCGGCCCCGAGGAAACCTACCACTCTCTCGTCTGGCAGCACCTGCTTCACGTCGCCATTGAAGAAGGTCACTGTGACAGTCTTCCCGTCTGCACTCACTTCCTTGCGAGTTCCATTTGGAAACAATATAACACGGCACCCACTCTCATAAACCTTTTCTACCTGCAAAAAACAAGGTCATTGCTACGTAAGGTTTCCTCCTGAGACCATGTGACAGATAGCCCTAATTCTCTTCCTAATTGCCTACTTTGAAATTTTTCATAGTGAAGAGTTAAACACTCTCTCGAAAGGAGAGAAGTTAATAAACCTATGATAATCAACTTCAAGTGTCAACACATCACCATTCCTGTCACTCCAAAACAAACTTTTCGGTGGACTTTTTTTTATAAAGCAAGCGGCAGGCGTCCCTCACCTGTAAACAACGTCAGCGGAGATCTGTAATAAAAGGCTTTTCACTAAGCTATCAAGCCATTACCACCATCACATCATACCCATCCATATTTCCCTCACATTCAAAGTTCATCTGAGGCAGGATCAAAACAAGGTCCACACATAACACTTGGATACTGTGCCTCTTAAATCTCAATTTTTAAGTCATCTCCTCCGTTTTTAATGCCTATTTGCTTGTTGAAGGAACTGGGTCACTGAGCATAGCTTCCCGCTTTCTGGATGGGCTCACAGCTTCCCCCGCTCTGGTCCCTTTAGCACGTTCTCACGGCCCCTGCATTTTCTAAGAGACCAAGAGTCAGATCCAGGTGCTCCACTAACTTCCAGCTGAATTATTCTGACGGGAATACTTCTAGGTGTTGCTGTGAGCTGCATATGGCCACGTGCTCTGCAGCACAGTGTGCGGCATCTTCCTGGCCTCCAGCAGACCATGTCAGTTCCGCCTGACACCCTCGATCCTCCACCTGTGGCTTCACGAATCACTGGTGACTCCTGCCTGGATCTGTGACTTCATCAGAGGTCACAATCTGCTGATTCCCTAATTTTCTCATTCTCATTCCATTAACTGGAATTCTAAAAAAGAAAAGCTGTCCTCATCACTAGCAGGGAACTCTGGCCTTATTTCAATTAAAATGGATCAGATTAGGGTATTTGGCAAAGTAAGTTTTCGACAAACCTGAGGAAAGATGTCCTCGTCACCTCCCCGGTACACAGCTGTTTACACCCCTTTCCTCCTCATCCGTCCTTGAGTGGAGGGCCCAGGCAGGCAGCCTCTCCCGCTCACCCCGCTCCCTGGGCACAAGAAGGAAACCCCGCAGGCTGGCTGGCCTCACCCTGCGGCTTTTACAAAGTGCCCACGTGGCATGACCAGGGCCTTGGGCTGTGTGTGGGGCACTCCTAGGAGTCTGGGGAGGCAGGCCTGGCCATACCCAGGTGCACCGTTCAGAAGCCACCGACGGCCTTAAAGATTGGTTATGTTAGAATCAGGAGCTTCGACTCTGTTTTAACCCATGTTAAGTCTTTATAGTATTATTTTAATTCTAACCTTTCCGTCAGGATGACTGATTTCTCCCTGAATCTCTTCTTTTTCTTCTTTTTCATTCTCTTTATATTCAGGGTCTGGCAAGCCCACTGGTTCAGGAGGCTCCCTGGGTGAGGCTGGCTGTAAGGACAAGAGGCTCTCAGCTGTCCTAAAGGATATTTCAAGCAGCTAAAACCTACCCTCATTTTCAAAATCCAGATTCTACTATTACAGGATTCTATGACTACTGTTCAGTGTTATATGTAACACAATTTCGATGCTAAGTAAAAACCCTCCTTTATAAATAAATGGTTTAAGAACTTAAGTCAGGTATCTGGTCAATTTCAAGCCGAAGTAATCTATGTTTGAAAATAAAAAATACAGAGAGGTTTACTTGTCTCTTGTCCGAACTGCATAAATCACGAGGCGGCACAGACTTGGGTCTTTGAGATGGATTGCCTGTCAGAAATATAATTGTCAGAGTTAGCTTTACTATTCAATTGAAAGTTTAAAATTTACTTAATATTATAGTCGAACATTTCCTTAGTTCGTATCCCTTTGTGAACTGCTGATCTCTGGCCATTAAGGAAGTCTTAATAATTCCCTTTCCTAGTTTGTAGGAGTTCATCACGTAACTTCAGACATTTATTCAGGTACTTGAGTCCTGAGTAACCAAGAAAGAAAAAGATAGGACCTGTTTCTGAGCGTTCACCAGCAGGAGGAGAACACCGGTGTTCAACTAGCCTCACAAGGCAGACCCTTAGGTGCTGTGGGGACCGTCCCCAGAGACCAGGTCTGGGCGTCCAAGAACACATACAGAGTCTGCCTTAAAGCCTTAATTGGGATTTAATTACAATCTGGACCTAATGGCTACGGTCTAAAGTTTTTTGATCATGATCAACACACCAGTCATGTGCTGTATTGGTGACACAATATAAAATAAGCGTGCACACACGCCACCACCACCACCAAATTGAGGCGAATTTTTACAATACAGAAGTTCTAATATTTTCTTCCTATACACCAAAAGATCACATAAACACTCGCAAATTTGAAGTGTTTAAAGCAAGTGTCAGGATCTGACTCACATGTTAAAAACTCGAGTGGCTGCTGTCTGCTACGGGGAGAACAGACTAGGGAAGACTGAGAGGCAGAGAGCCCAGTCAGGAGACTGGGAGGCACACAGAAAGGCTCGTGTGGCATCCATGGAGACGGATGATCCACTGCACTGTCAAGTCACTAGGCACAGGTCCCAAACTGCCAAGCGTTAGCAGTGTC